GTCTGCTATGCACTCAGTGCTTTAACTGCTATAATTACAAATGTTTCCTCCTTCTCTAATGTGTTATCAAATTGCATCAATTTTCATAATAAAACCTTTGCCCCAATATAAATAGTTTATTTGTGAAAATAACAAAAAATAGGAAGAATTAAATTTTTTTTAAGAAATCACATGCACTGGGGGGGATCAAGGGCATAATCATTTTTTTAAAAAAACATGCTTCTGCAACCCAGCTTACACCTGTTGAAACCAGAGTTTCTTGATTTCATTCTGCAAGCATAAAATCTGTCTTTAAAACGAACCTGGGGAGTGGTTCCATAATGGCAGCTTAAATATCAGTTTTAGAGATTGCCCCATCATTGAAAAATACATCAGTCCTTATGCTCTGTCCCTTAAGCCCTGTTAAGGGTGACAGTTCTGTAGTGAAGAACCTCTAATGCTGCTCAAAGGCACAGGGTTCTTTCCTGGTAAAAGAATGGTCAAAGCCAAAGTCTGAAACTGATAGAGCTGCTCCAAAAAGAAGACATAGTTTTCAGGTGAAAGGCCCAGCCTCAGAGGAAAGTACTATTAATGATGTTTTGAAAGAGCAGAAAGGTTGAGAGTGAATGCTGACTGGTCAGCTATATGGAAAGTAGCTGTATAGGATATTCTCTCCTACTCATTAGTGGAACATCTGAACAGTTGTTTTATTAAATGATATTATGAACTCTCTGATCATAACAGCAGCTGCTATTTGTCTCTCAGTAGACCAATATGCTGTTTTCCCTACTAAGGCACATTTGGGACAATTGTGGGGGGACACACATGGGTGGGACTGAGTAGCAGTAAGAAGATGGTTAGGATTCCACATTTCACATACAATGTTACCAAATACTTTAAAATGAAAATTCTTTATTATTTTGTAAGTATGTTCCCTGTTACAAGCAACATATACAAGATGGAGTAGCTTCTTGTCTATATTATGCAGTAGATTTTCTCACCAAAGGTTTGCCTTTAAAAAAAAGTGGGTGGGATACATACCCATAAGTAAGTGTCCACAGCTGGATGCCTAGATTGCTTATTTATAGACTCACATACACACCAGATACTACAGGTACTTCCAAGAAAGTACAGATTTTGGAGAAAGAAAGATCTATTCTGGTAAAAAAAAGGGGGCCACATCTGCCATTTGCACCTGCCAAGTCATATTCACATCTCATCATCTGGTAAAGAAACAGGCACATCACAAAACAGTTCTCCCACACAAATCTCATTGTATTAGGTCCCTTATGTTTCACTAGCCATTCTTGTATGCCCATATTTGTACATTTATGTGTCTAGCTGCAGTAGACATGGATTCTGGATCATTATTAGTTTTGAAAGGGTTTTTAATTTTAGAAAATGCAGTAGCAAAAATATTGTCAGACTCATATTCCAATTTAAATATTAGAATGATGTCTCATTGTCTTTCAATATAAAAAAATTAGAAGAGATTATGATTTCTGTTAAAATGATGCTACTTTGATATGATATTGCAAAGACAATAAGGCACTTTCCTTTAAACTGATTTCCAAAGCTATATCTGAGATCTATATCTGCTGTTTATGGATCACAACTAACTTTATAGTCATGTATAAACTGTACTTCTGAGTGCTGTAAGAGGTATCCCCTGTCTCACAATAAAAATATTATGGAACATTATATTTCCATATAGTAATGGCACTCTTATTTTACTAGTAGGAAAGGTATTGTACTAATTTAATTGACTAACATAAAAGTCTCACAAGCAAGATCAATATTTTATTTTCTCAACAGTTTTTGTCAATGAAGATTTAATTTCCCGTGCAGAGAAGGTGCTTGTATAGCTCACGGATATAAGTGGGGTGTGGTCCTTTCTGCGAAGCCCAGAGGCTTTGACTTCCCTCCCTATCCCAGTCCCATGAGAGCCTCAACACCAAAACACTAGTGTAGATGTCAGTGAATAGGGGATTTATTTGCAACTCTATAATAAAATTATCCCTTGACCCAAAATCATATAAATTCTATGTGGTTTAGTTTATGCCTGAACTACTGATGACTTAGCTATGTTGGTTGGGATGTAATGATAAGAAGACATAAGAAAAATGAAAAAAAAATAACAGCCTATTTCACAGGTTTGACATCAGAAGACAGAGACTTCTGTAGAAACCACATATTACTCTAATCTCTGTTGTAAATCTAGAACAGTTGTTTTGATCTTTTTTTACATCGGACACAGAAGCACACCCAAGTTAGCCTAAATACAACATTGTTTAAAGACAATAAAATTAGAATACTGCAAATCTCCAATTATAATTCAGAACCTCAGCACAATAGACAGATATGTGAACTTTCCCTGAAACCAAGTGCTGCTTGAGAGAAATTTTTGGTTGATCTGGTCAACCACTGATGTTACGTGAAAGCCTTTGGCAGTTTGGTAGTCAAATTTCACAATGAACTTTGCATTTGCTCAAAACCAAACCTCCTTGAAAATTCAAGGGTTGTAAATTAGAGTCAGAACTTCACAAAGCTCAAATTAGACAATAATCTGTCCACAGAACAGATTTATTTACAATTATGTTAATCCCCACAGATTCCTCATCTAAAAGAAAGAAAAATATCCTTTCTACCTGTATGTACAGCCTGCTCCAGCGGTCACACCAGGCAGCACAAGGCACAGGTTTTTCAGGCTACTGCTATCATCAGCAAGAAAAAATACTGAAATTCATCAAAGTGTTTTAAAAATAAAGTCAAAGATGTAAACACAACCTCATTTTACAGCACGGATGGAGAAAATAGTAAGTTCTGATGCAAGTGAGGTCTGATGGAGTTAAATGGGAAAGCTACAGCCCCTTTGGCCATTTCACTGGATTGGCTCCTAAGGAGAAAACTCTCCTATCTGGCAAAAGATGCTAATAATAAAAATTATAGTTATATACATAATTACTTAACACTTAGCTTTAATAACCAATGCTAATAAACCTGAAGCCTGAATATGATATTGAAATAATATTGCCATTTGCACCTCAACAGCATATTTGTTTATCATTCTTTTAATTTTAGAACATACTTTGTGACTCTGAAGGTGTAAATGTGAGAGAAGGAGCTGTAATTGAACAGCATCTCCTTTCTCTGCTTTGCAATACTGTGCTGGTTTGGACTGGGATAGAGTTAGTTTTCTTCCCAGTAGCTGGTATGGGGCTATGATTTGGATTTGTCCTGGAAACAGGGTTGATAATACAGAGATGGTTTTGTTACAGCTAAGCAGTGTTTACACAGAGCTAAGGCCTTCTCTGCTCCCCACCCCACTCACCAGCGAGGGGGCTGGGGGTGCACAAGAAATTGGAGGGGACACAAGCCAGGAGAGCTGACCCCAACTGACCCAGGGGATATTCCATGCCGTTTAACATCATGTTCAGTGTATAAAAGCCTGGGGAATAAGAAGGCAGGGGGATATATGGAGTGATGTTTTTTGTGTTCCCATACACCCAGGACCCCATTTCAGCTCAGCCCAGAGACTGCCAGGCCACAGCCCCTGCCCAGCCATACCTCCCTCCATTGGCTGGTGGCTCGGCCAGTCCAGGGCACAGCCCCTTGGCCTGCCAGCCCTTGCAGAACCCCAGCATCCCTGCGTAACTTTTGGCATATCACTGGTGAGCAGTGGGGGAACAGACTTGTTCCTTCCAGACCTCATTTTCTTCCCCTACAATGCACAGTCCTTTAGAGCCTGTTCAGGGGAAATTCTACTGAATGAAGCATTTGATTTATGCAGCTACTAAGACATTTACTGGCTTGCAACACAAAGACTATGTAAGTACAGTTAACTAACACCTCTACCTAAAAACTCTGCTTTGCCATTTTTAGTCTTCATTTTCGTCCTGACACATAACTCTCACATTTGTTCAGGCCAGAAGAGCCATCTTTAAACTACCTGTGAGTTCAATATCAACACAGATTCTCAACCTTGCTCTTAAAAACTCTTTATACCTATCCTCAAAGTTGTATTTTTGTATTCCTGGACTTGATAAATAGCATGTGTGGTGAGGTGGGAAAGGTGTTCATAATTTCCAGCTGAAGTATTGCCTAGTGAAGTGTCAGCTTGGGTTACATAACTCATATATAAACAGACTTTTTGTGGCTGGTAGGAGAATAATTGGTTCACCTCTTCTATTCCCCTCTCTCACACAGCTTCATTGGCCTCTTATTTCATTATTCCGTAAAGCTTGCAATGACCACCATATTCTTTACAAAATAGCCTTTCTAACATTAGGAGAAATCTCAAATATTAAGAAGATATGGTCAGCATTTAAACCCTAAAATCTCCTCAGAAAAATACAAAGTGTTTTTTGGAGTACTACATTATTCTGAGGTTGGTCAAATCCAAACCTTCTAGGACACTGCCATGGAAGAAAGGTTAGTGTGGAGCTGAGACTTTGACCTGATATTCAGAGAGACATTTAGCATCCCTCAGCCAGATGCCTCAAGTGCAGTGAAACGACTTTTTGCATTAGGCATGAGATGAGATAGTCTCATCCAGTACTGGGTAGACCAGCTCATGTGGAGAACCAGTACAGCACAGCCAGTCAGCTGAAAATCCACCCTTTCCCTTACTACACACTCGCCTTTTCAGACCAGCAAACAAAACCCCAAGCTGTATTAGGTACTACTGTTATAATAAATCATTATGACTTCCCATGGAATGAAGTCAAGAGTAGTGAGTTAAACCATTGCTGGCACCAGCTGGAGTGCCCTAACAGTAAGGATTCAAGGAAAGGCAGGAAGGTTCCTCTGCGAGCTTCTTATTGAGGGAACCTCTGCAACACCATTAGTTGCTCACGGACAGTTTCCTTCTTCCTATCAGTATGGGAGATGGCAATGTTAACATGGGGAGATGGCATTGCCACATATAATGTACACCAATGTGTTGTAGTGGTTCACTATCATTTCATGCAATTTTCTTAACCTTTCTGTACAGGACATAGAACAAGAGAGAAACAACTAACCGTATCACTGTGATCCCAGGTGTTTGATGAGCCACTACTGACTATATGTGGTTCTTCTTCCCAGCTGAAGGAACAGTCACCTGTATAAAGAAAATATTGAAGGTAGCGTGATGCTTGACATGTACAGCTGAGAATTACTTCAATAAGCAATCTCATGCTGATACTGCAAACTGCATATATTCTTCACAAATGAAACATTTTACCATGAATCCTTCCAGCCCAACATGTTCAAGTCTTCTAAGATCTCCACATATGTATGCATCAGGCTCCTCTATTCATTCTCATTCTCCATTCCCATCTTTTCCACATCTCACCTTTTCTACAGTGCAAAGGAAGGGACACTTCCCATGCTTGTCAGACCCAGACTTGTTTCTAGACTCCTTCCCATTCTCTCCTGGATGGTCCTCCATCCATCCAATATTTTTTAGAGTCTTTTCAGGCTACCTATATCATACCATTTAAACAGATTTTTAAAAATTACTCTTCAATGATAAATAAATAAGTATGTTATTATTTTCTTTCTGCTTCTCACATGAACTTTTGTAGGTGTATGGCTTACAGATTTTTTAATTTTTCACAGATTATAGAATAAAGGCAATTTTTAAATCCCCTCTTGTCTTACTAGAGGTACAAAAGCTGATTAGGGAATGTGCAGAACACGTTCTGGAGGTGAGCAGGATTAAACACATGCTATACTTGCCTAGAAGCAACAATAATATCAGTAGCAGTACTGATGGCATGAGAAGGAACATACCTATGTAAAGTGCACACATATGTATCTACATAGATATGCTCCTGTGATACTCTGGGCCTGCTCTCTTCAAATGGGGAGCCTTTCCAGTAGAAAAAAGGAGAATTTTTATGTCATTGAGTCATCCCTCTGTTGCATCTCATCATACAAGACTTGTACTAGAATACACTGGCGGATCACTAGAAGACAACTTCTTCATGGTCTTTGTAGTAAATCGTAGTAAATTTTCTTATGCCCATACTAAAAAGATTGGATAGAAAAATATCTCCCTCTGTTAATATTCAGCTTAAATCTGAATTCTCTCAAATATCTGAGAGAGCAAAATGAAATTTTACAGATGTCTATGGAATAGGAAATGTAAACAGGAGATGTCTCTGAGGCCAAGTAAATGTGTCAAAAACCCCAAAGTTTCCTGCATCATTTTCTTGTACTCAATTGCATGTACAGTTTGTAATAGCAAATTATTTCTTCATTCAGGTGTCCAATCAAAAGTTATGTGAAGTCCCCCTATCCCAGATTCCCAACTACATCATAGAGAGCAATATAATAAGGCCCCATTGACAAAAATATTCCTTGATTGCAAGGATCGTCGATATCCTGAAAATGAGTTTTCACAACACTAGATGTGCACTTCAGCTCACTTTGCCAGGTGTTTGCATTGCAGTGATAATTTTCAGCTCTGTGCTGGCTGCTGAATACGGCCCAAAATTGGAATCACCCCCGTAGGAGTATTCAGATCGCATAGAAAAATTTAGGCAAAGAATAGAACAGACTACAATCACAAAGAACAGAGCAGGGCACCCTGAATGCAAGCTACATCAGAACAAACATGCAGGAGTCATGCTTATAGCTTTTTAACAGCAGAAGTTTCCACATTGATACACAGGAAAGCTTAGAGAAAATCTCAGAATCGTCTCCTCTCCAAATCTTTATTTTAGGGGGACTCTAGTGTAAACTTAGACGCACGTATTTCACACACAGTGCCTCTTTCCTCTTCACAGGGGTGTTTCCACAAATTATTCCCTCAATCTGAATCTCTATGCATGAGTTTGATAGTGACGCTCCATCATCCTAAGCAGCTGGTGAGTCCTGGTCTACAGTTTGCTGATGAAGGACGATTTCCATTTCCTCCATTACTCACCAAAAGCATAGCCTAAATCACTTAGTGATGGTGTCTTTCACAGCCTTTCTTTGCTTTTCGTGTGTAGGATAGATAGAGAAAGAGATCCGAGAGAGAGGTTTAGCTCACCATGGTATGAAGGACAACAGTATTTGACCCCTCACAGAACTTAGAGATTCCCATAGACATGCATAGCACCACAGATGCTGTGCGTCTGCAAAGTCACCCTGCAAAGGTGACTGTTCACACTTGCACTCAGTGCAGGCTGCCCATCCACAATGCCAGGAGGCATCACACACACGAAAATAGCTGTCACACACAGAAGTTACTTCTACTTCCCTTACTCTGCTTTTCTTAGGTAATCCCTGCCTCAGCTGTCCACACTTTTGAAAGGGTGATGGGAGAAGGCATTGTCCTAAAGCTAGAGTGAAGAAGGGAAAATCTTACTCCTGAATGTGTTGTGTTGTGAGGACACCAACCAAATTATTCCTATTTGCAATGACTTTAGTGAGCTGACTGTGCCAGAGTACTAGAGAAAAAAGTACCACCTAAATGGAGACTTGCTGTTGATATCAATTTATTGACAGAAAGTTGAATTTCTCCTTTCTGCTGCCAATTATCCCTTGTATAATCAAAAGAATTTCCTTTTGATATGATCTTAACTGTTTTGAGCAGTGGTCTCTTCTCCAAAACCAAGATGTTTAAAAGCAACCAGTGATTTCAGACACCTTACTTTCCAGGTACCTGGTTTGAATGATAGGAAGCTTGATTATCAGTAGCTACTCTTAAAAACAGTTTCTAAAAAGCATCAGTTCTCAATTTGAGCAAACAACAGTTGATGCTAAAAGTACTAGTCACATTTGAAAATGTCAGCCCTTGTATTACATGCAAATAATGACCAATCAGCTACAAATTATAAGTCTGAGGCTCTTGGTATTTTTTAAAAGCACTCATGATGCTAAAAACTACTTTAATTGATCATTACCTGTCTTAGAGGATTTTGGTCTTTTCACTGATTTAATGTGATTATTCCAGTTTTGACAAAGAGTTATTTCCTAACAAAGGTAAGGAGTCCTGGGCTTATTTGGCAGCACAAACCCAGACTGTTTCCCATTTCCTAAAGCACAGCTATACTGCCAATATAGCTCCCCTGCCCCAGATGCAGGGCCACTAATCCTCAAGTTGTCAGTGGAACACAGACACCCCAGTGCCATCCATCCCAAGAGCTCTGCATGGAGAAGTTTGAGCTGACTGGGTCTGCTGGTCGCTCACTCTGGGAGCCATAGCCCATTGCATAATGAAGTAGCACCATATGTTTATGTACCTTCATAACCTGGAAAAGTGAGCATTGCCCTTAATCACCAATATTTATGATTCATAAAGAAATGGAAGAAATCTGAATAAGAAATATGTGATAGGAACAAAAGCTGTCTGTATGCCCACTGACACTGTCAGTAGAATCCTGCTGTCATTGCACTCCATTGGGACTGCAGGCCTGGCTTAATGCAGCCTGATTGCAGCTGTGTCTGCTTTGGTTTCCTGAAAGAACTTGCAAGTCTAGCATGGTAACTTGTCATCTGCAAGCCAGGAGTTTTATTCACAGTTTGCTAGAAGCCACATTAAATAGCAACATCAGTCTGGAGATCAGCTTCTGCAGCAATGTTCTTATCCTTAAGCCTGTGCAGATGGGTGATTCCCTATGTGCTTGCTTTAATGGCTGTGCTGCCGAAGACACTAATATCCTAAGACATATCTCTCCAGGGGGCTCTTGATATGAGAGTAAAATGAAATTTGTGTCCAGTTTGCCAGCACCTCACCAATGCCCTAACAGCAGGGTGCTGTATTAGAAGAAAGACACTCTTCACAGGTGCACTTTTCACAAAAAGACTGTCAGAAAAACCTGAAACATACGCATTATTTAACCAAGCTCATAAATAGCAAATTCTCCAAACAACTAGCAATATTTATGCTTCCTATTTTCTTGGAGTTCAGGAATCTGTGGCTTTGTTACCAGTGCCGCCTGTGAGGTTATTGAGAAATTAATTCTACTGTCAATGTGTATAGACCGAGCTTTGCTATAAACATGCACCCAAATACTATGCATTTTGTCTTCCTTTCCTCCCTCCAAGCGCTGTGCTAACAATATGACTCTTTACTATCAGTACAACTTGCGATTATGTAGCGATAAGCAATCCACACTCAATATGCCATCCTATTAGGCAGTGTTAAGTTATTATAGGTCGTATTGCTAAGCCTAAATAAGACCTGACAGAAAAGCTCATTAAATCTGAAAAGACTCAAATGAAAAAAGAACCCTTTTTCCCCCTAACTAGATTGAGGTACTTAACTCAAAGCTCCCAATCACCTTTGTGAGAGAAGCCTCGTGTAGCATGGGAGTCCCTCACAGAAGGGCTGTGCAATTCCCAGCATTGGATTAGCACCTGTTGCACGGGTTCCTTCCCTTAATTGACCCTGCAAGGAGTGGGAAGCTAATTTAGTAATTCCTCTTCCAGACCCTTTGGCTTTTCTGGTCTCATGAGCAGGCCTCCAATCCCTGGAGCACAGACGACACAGAGAATCCCTTTTCATTCTTACTAAATATAGCACCTTCCCACTTTTTTTGCCAGCAGACAAACACAACCTACAGTGGCTGCCCTGCTTGCTACACATGTCCTACATCCCATAAACCAAATGGCAGACTAGAACAGTGATGAAGAAGTTGAAATGTCAGTTTATACCACTCTTTGATTCATGGTTTGCCCTAGAGACAGGACTTCATCCTTTCGTGAGCATACCTAGCTATTGAGTTAAATGACAATATTAGAGCATCCTGTATTCTGCCCTGGATATCCACCCCTCCAGCAACCTCCCCACAGCATTGGCCTAATTTATATGTGCAATTAAGCACTGTTAGAAATAAAAAAACCAAACACAAAAAACTATGGCTTATTTTAATTGATAATACACAATTGTCTTAACTACACTGATTAAAATAGAAAATTAAACATAGGACTGGTGAAGTGATTGCATAATTCCTTTTCATTGGGTAAAATCTTCTACTCCTTTTAATTCAGTGTAGCTATGGGCCACAAAGGCTACTGAAACCATTCTGTCCTTTTGTGCAGCATT